AAAATATTAATTCAAATTTAAAGTTAATTATTAAATATATTTTTTTTATACCTTTCTTAAGTTTTCTTAAAATTATTAATAAGTTTTACAATTAATAAATTTAATTTATAATGAAAATCACTCAGAGCCTTCTTTGTTCTGATTTTAATTTTTTTTCTTTTATTTGAATATAGTGAATATTCAAAAATTCATTTAATAAATTCATCAATACATGTTAATAAAGGATTTCTTATTCAAAAAAAAACATTTGATCTTTTCATCCTATAAATACACAATATTCTAAAAAAATTAGATATTTTTTTATAAAATAAAAGATACTATAATTTACACAAAATTTTTGTTATTCACATCATAAAAACATATAAATTAAATCTATAATTAAGATAATTTTGTGTTTCTATAATGTAAATAATAAAAATTTTATATAAATTATAAGATTTTTTCTAAATTATTATTATAAAAATATAATATATCCTATTATTAATAGTATTTGCAGAACTTATAGCTAAGAAATTAAAAGGTTTACCAAATTTACTTGCATGTATAACTGGTAATAAAGAGGCTGTATGCATCTGGCTAGCTAATTTTAATATATGTAGATGCTTAATTAGCTAATTATATATTTTTATAACATTATTTATATTATTAAATATTGGTCAACTTCTTTTATTTAATCAATTTCTTGTATTTGATAAATTTTTTGTATTTGATTTATGTTTTGTTCTTGTAAATCACCTATTTTAAAATAGTTTTAAGTTATTAAATTATTAAATTATAATTGTTAATAGATAAGCATCAAAAAGAAAATCTTCAAAATAATTATAATTTTCTTTTAAAGAAGCTATTAAAAAATTTAATTATTATCTAAATAAAAAAATAATAATTAATAAAAAATAATTATATCTTAATAAATTAATAACTCTTCATCATCATTTTGCATATTTTTAAAATTTTTAAAATATCTTCTTGAGAAGTTGATTTATTTTCATCTTTAATAATATTATCATTTGCTTGAGGAGTTATTTCTCTCAAAGTATTTTTTTTAAAAAAAGATTTAGAAGAATAGCCTAAACAAAAATTAAAATTAAAAAAAATATTTAAACAATTATAACTTTCAAATTTCTATATTTTATTTTGCTTTTACTAAAATGTTTTTTTGTCTAAATATTAAAAATTTAGCTATTTGCTTATTTTTTAATAACAACTTAGAAAGACAGCCTTGTTTTAGCATTGTAGAAAAATTGTTTTGCATCTTTATAAAAATAATCAAATTAATTTAAAATATTTTATTTATATAAATTTTGTTTACGAGGTGTGGTGACCTAGTGAAGTAGATAGGTTGTAAATGCTCAAGTGGCAGGTCTAAGGTTC